CAATGGGATGTCTCGCTGTGAATTAGTTTGTCTGGTCCTTTCTGCAAAATGGCTTTTGAGGAGAGAAATAAGGAATGTGAAGATGCCAAGACTTCAGGGGGTTGGCTTCCACTGAAAGGAAAAAAGCCTGCATAGGAACTAAAAAACCAAAAGAACAAGACGGGGGGAATATGGGTTACAGCCAGCCCCAACTAGGCCTATAAAAGTAAGTGAGCACAGTATTTCCCACTGTGATGCTACCAAGCCAAAGGTGGATGACTCTAATCTGCTTCCATCAGGCCTGTTTTCCATTATTTTTGGTCAAACATTCTTCTAGGTGGTAAAGCCCTGGTGTATCCACTTGCTGTACAGAGGTAACTTGTGGTTGCTGTGAAGCAGAACACTGTGACACTGACATGTCAAATGTGATAATTAATGGTTACCAATGGTGGATGGTATTAATTAGGTGGAGCTCCCCGATTAAAACAAGCTTGGAAGCAGGTGTGCCATCCACTTCATTAAATAGCTTGCCTCCAGAAACCTTATGAACTTGGAGAAAGGTTGAAAGTCACTCAAGTGTTGAGGACTTTCGTTCATAGAGTCGCTATGAGTCACCTATGACTCAACGGCACTTAACAACAATATTTGCACAAGATGAGTTTAAACTCACATCTTCTTAATACAACATGGGTTTTTGAAGGGATATCCTTAAGTAAGAAGCTATTTTTTAAACTCTTTATTGGCAGTGATTTTGAAAATCTATCTAACTTGGGAGGGACTGAAGAGCATTATAGTAAGTGAACTAACTCAGTCCCATAAGGACAAATACTATGTAAGACTATTATTGTAAAAATAGAAAGATACTAGTATAATGGCATAAGAACCCAAGGGGGGAAGGGTAGGAACAGAGGGGTGAGGATGGGGAGGGTAATCATAGGGTCACACAATTTGATGGGTGGAGGAAATGGCAAAGGTCTGGAGTGAAAAACAATGTATACAAACTTTGTAAGTCAACCAGTATAAAATAAAAATTTTCTTTAAAAATAAAACAAACTCTTTATTGGATTTTTTCATACTTATCTGAAGAAGAGTATGGAGTTCTGGTAGCCTAGTGGTAAGGAATTGCACTGTCAACCCAAAAGCAGGTGGTTCAAATCCACCAACTGCTCTGAGGGAAGAAGATGGGCAATCCCTTCTCATGGAATTTATGGACTCTGATAATTTGCTCGTGGGTCAACTATGATTTGGTTCTGTTTCAATGGCACAAAACACCAACAAAAGATGTGATATTCAAAGCACGATGTAACCATAGGCATTGCCAAAGATTACATCAGTTTACCATTCCTTCCTTTGCCAATGCATCAAATAATTTTGGCCACATGGTTTTCGCTGGACAACAATAAATGAGTTGGGACAACAATATGTAAGTTTCAAACCTACACGTTTTAAAGGCCTCAGGTACTAGCATTTTTATTTCCATTTGTCCTCTTGTATCTCTACTATAACCTGAGAAATATAAACCCTGGCTAGCTTGCTGGCTTAAGGTTGAGAGATACAAGAAGCAAAATCCTCCAATTGACCTACAGACATACAGGGGAGAATCATAGCTTCCCCTGGTGCAGCTTAAAACAAGGCCACCTCCCCATGCTCATGCTAGACTAGCCAAACCCAGCTGACTGTCATAGAGTAGCGATGTCCCTAAGAAGTACTCAAGAGAAAACGATGTTTGTACCAAAGAGTTCTTCATATACATATATGGAACTCTGCTGGCCTGGTGGTAAGAAACTGCACTACAATCCATGCATGGTTTGAGGCCACTAGTTACTCCACAGCAGAAGGATGGGCAGTCTCCTCCCATTCAGTTATCTGCCTCTGAATGCCTGCTGGAAGGTCAGCTATGGGTTGGTCCTTACTCTACGATATAAAACAATAGATAGAGAGATAGATAATAATAATAACAATAATAATAATAATATCACCCACCACAAGGACAAAAAAAAGAGTGCATAGTCAGTTACATGTATATGTATGTGTATGTGTATATGTATATGTATATGTATATGTATATGTATATGTATATGTATATGTAT